TATATATTTATATATATATATCGAAGTGGTGGAAGGCCACCTGGACCAAAAAATGCCAGGGCCGATTTTTTGTCCCAGTCCAGCCCTGGCTGATACTACTTAAAAATTCCATGTTCTAATTCCATGAACATCTGCTTCAAATCAGATCTCACCCCATCATGCAGCTTTCATTGTCAGATGGAATATCACACTCCGAATGTGGCATTCATTTCATTAATGAAGCTTTTAACAAGAACCTTTAACAAGGTGTAAAGCAGTCGTCAGAGCCAGACTGGAAGAGACTGATCAGTGTTTAAGGCTCCAGTCGCTCCATTAAATGTGTCTTCTGGTGTGTAAGTGTCTCAGCATGCTTTCCTACATTGTTTCCACTTTCCCATGATGCCTGAAGGTGTTTTTGTCCACTGTGGAGGACTCTTGAGTCTGAGACTCTCTGATCGCCTGTTGTGATGGGTTCATGTGATGAGATAGTTCACCCAAACATGAACTCACACAAATGTGCCTCCAAACTATGACTTACTTTCTGTGTCAAACACAAAATATATTTTGGCAGAAAGTCATTGTTTGGAACAATACGAGGGTGAGAAATCATGGCAGAATTTTCATTTTTGGATGAACTATCGCTTTAGTTACCCATGCGAACATGTAAACTGTTCAGACTTTTCCCTTTAACACAAATAACAGATATGCTCTATTTTGGATAAAAGCGTCTGCTAAATGCATAATGCACATGTAAATAAGCTGAACTGCATCTGCACCATTAGTAACATGTCAAAGTATAATACTGCTAATTTTGAGCAACTGAAAGAGAAAACTTCCTTCATCTTTGCATTGCTAATGGTTTCCAAACAGTTTTCCAAAAGAAAATGTAAATGAAAGTTAGAAATGTTGCCTCAACAGCTAACTAACATAAGTTTAAGTTGAAGTACTAAAATTGCTAAAACAAAGCTGAAATAAAAATAAATTAACACCAACTAGAACAAATCAAATTTAAAAAGAATAAAAATGACAAAAATGCACTAAAGCTTAAATTGATATTAAAATGAAAACGGATAATATAAAAAGAAAAGCTAATTCAAAATATGAATAAATACTATAATAGTATATAAATAATACTAAAACAACACTGGTGCCATCTAAATGCAAAACGGGAATAAAACTAAATGAAAGCTACATAGAAATATATATAAAAAAAAAAAATTTAAATGAGAAAAAGCACATAAAATTACTAAAACATAAAATAATTAAAATAAAAATGTAAAAAATAAAAGCTAATTTAAAATGTTAATAAATACTATAATATATAAATAATATGAAAATAACACTGGCCGCATGTAAATGTAAAACAGAATAAAATAAATAATAAATGAAAGCCAAATATAAATATTAATGTAACAGAAACTAATACAAAATAACAAAAGCACATAACAAAATGACTAATACTAAAAAAAAATAACTCAAATTTAATAAATACTATAATAGTATATAAATAATACTAAAATAACACTGGTGCCATCTAAATTTAAACCAAATAGAAATATAAAAAAACATAAAATGGCTAAAACGTAGTCTAAAATGCAAACTAATAAATATAAAAATGAAGGTTAATTCAAAATATTAATAAATACTACAATAGTATATAAACAATAGTAAAATACTTGTTCACTAAAGGCTCTAAAGTTATAGAGCTACTTTGTGCAATAGAAGAAAATCCCGCGAGCGAGGCCTCAGAAAGCATGTGATGAAAAGAAAGCCGCCGTGAAGCTCCATCACTGACTCACGGACAGGAACATGTGGATGCCGTTACTCTGGGGATCCTCTGTGTTTTCCTCTCTCAAGACTGAATAATCATCGCAGCGGTGAATCTGTCTCCCTCAAGAGGACCAGAGAATGTTAACATTTGTGTTGCGGCTGTGATTGCTAAAGCAGAGGCTCCGCTGACAGAGTCTCCACGTGTTTTCTTTCATTATGTTTCATTGAGTGTGACGCTGAGTGGCTGAGATACAATGAGGCATGTTCAGAGCAAAACTCATTCTGCTTTTCTCTCTTTGTCCCTTTCGTCCAGGTCCGTCTGAGTTGTGTTTATCGGTCAGGTATAATCGACGGCCCACTTGCCCTGATGCCACCGTGGGGGTTCATATTCCCACCCCGCCGCCCTCACGCCACAGGAAGAGCCACAGCCTCGGAAACGCGTCTGTTTTGTCTCTTTTTACATATACACACACACTTACATACTGTATTTTGATCAAAAGTTTGGGGTCAGTATGATTTTTTGAAAGAAATGAATACTTTTATTCAGCAAGGATGCATTAATTTAATCAAAAGTGACAGTAAAGACATTTATAATGTTACACAAGATTTCTATTTCAAATAAATGCTGTTTTTTAAACTTTATATACATCAAATTATATTGAATCATCCCTCAGTTTCAAAATAAATAAATATAATGTATTTAAAGTCATGCATTTGGAAGTACAGAGGCCCAGCTTTCTGGAGGATTTAAAGCATAAGTTTGAAGCTTTTTATTATTGCACTTGCATGAATTATTCTATAAAACCCAGATTTTTATTTTTATTTTTTTAAGGTGGGACTGTTACCAATGCTACTTTAGTGTCATTGAGATACTATAATAGTTTTTATTAATATATTGGATTAGTTTTTATTTTTATATTTTCCATTTTAATTTTAACCTCTGTAGACCTCTATATAAACCTCTATAGATGTTTTTCCCCAGTTTTAATTAGTTTTAGTATTTATTTTAGTAAATCAAGTTAACCTTGGCAACTAGTTGAAAGTAACAAAAAAGTTTCCTTTTTTATATTTTATTTAATTCCACTTAACATTTATTAATTTATTTTAATAATTTTTTGGTTTTTAGGTTTTAGTCTTCTTTTTCTTTTTTTTAGGTTTAGAAGAATCCAGAAAAAAATGTATCTCAGTTTACACAAAAACATGAAGCAGCACAACTGTTTTCAACATTGATAAAAATCAGAAATGTTTCTTGAGCAGCAAATCAGCATATTAGAATGATTTATGAAGGATTATGTGACACTGAAGACTGGAGCAATGATGCAGAAAATTCAGCTTTGCATAACAGAAATATATTACATTTTACAATATATTCACATAGAAACCAGTTATTTTAAATTGTAATAATATTTGACAAAATTACTGTCTTACTGCATTTTTAGTCAAACAAATGCAGCCTTGGTGAGCAGAAGGGACTTCTTTCAAAAACATTAAGAAATTTTACCAATCCCAAACTTGAACGTTAGTGTAACTGTATACAAAATATCAAATGTGACCCTGGACCACGAAACCAGTCATAAGGGTAAATTTTTCGAAATTGAGATTTATACGTCAGCTGAAAGCTGAATAAATAAGCTTTCCATTGATGTATGGTTTGTTAGGATAGGACAATATTTGTTCGAGATACAACTATTTGAAAAATGAGGGTGTAAAATAATCTAAATATTGAGAAAATCGCCTTTAAAGTTGTCCAAATGAAATCCTTAGCAATGCATATTACTAATCAAAAATTACCTTTTTATATATTTACAGTAGGAAATGTTCTAAATATCTTCATGGAACATGATCTTTACTTAATGTCCTAATGATTTTTGGCATAAAAGAAAAATCCATAATTTTGACCCATACAATGTATTTTTGGCTATTGCTACAAATATACCCCAGCGACTTAAGACTGGTTTTGTGCTCCAGGGTCACAAATATGCAGCACTTTTGCATTTAGTTTGGCAAACTTCTCCCTGGAAACTTACGGTGTTGCACAATCTCATGCCTCGTGATGGTTTTCTGACTCTCTCGCAGTATGATGTGGGATTTCGGTGTGGTGGAGAGTAAAAGTGCGACGTTCCCCATAGAGAAACCACGTCACCTGCTGGACGACAGCTTCCTAGAGTCCCAGAGTCCAGCGCGGAACAACCCACACAGCTCATCCGTGTCCAACGGCATCTCGAGAGGTATCAGCACAAGCTGTGGCATTTTACCAAAGCCCTGCACTTCCTATTTAATGCATCTTTGTGGCATGATATTGATTACTGCTGAAAATCATTTTGAATCAGCCCTCAAAAATACATAAAAAAAGTGGTTAGAGTAATGCACTTGGAAGTAAACGGACCCAGTATTCTAAAGGATTTAAAAGCATAAATGTGAAGCTTTTTTATTATTGTTAAAGCACTTGCATGAATTAGTCAAGTCAAATTTATTTATATGGTTCTTTTCACACACATTGTTTCAAAGCACGTTTACAGAAAATCATGAAGTTAAAGTTTACTATATCATATCTTAATATCTTCATGCCGTAGAGTTGCATTTAGCAGATTAGAGCTGGACAATTATATTTTGCGGCACTATAAGCAATCAAGCAGATATGTTTTATAATAGATATTAGATTTCTGGTATCATTGCACGTCTTGTGCAAAAGGAACAGAACGGCCGTTATGTCGCCATGGCAACAGAGTTGAAAGACTAAATATAACTTTGCACAGAGAAAATCAGTGTTTGTACCACACAAATCCCATGCAAACTCATGCAATATAGTCTTGCGGCTTTCAGTGTTTTTTAATGCCTGACCCAATGTACTTCCATAGTAAGTGCATTACTTACTTATTACAAGAAAATGAGAGACAAGTCGAAATTATTTTGTGTTGTCAATTTCTAATGAAATGATTAAAATAACATATTAATAAAAATGTATGTCTTCAGTGTTTTAAATGTAACCATTTTGCAGCCCCAGTAATGTCTTTGAGGTCGTACTGTACTGCTTTTGTACCTCATTGTGTACTCTACTGGAAATGGTTGTGAGGTTTGTTTGGTTTGTGTTTCATCAGGCAGCAGTCAGAGTTCGTTCTGTGATGATCTCTCTCCAGGGCTCGAGAGGTGAGACTCTGTCTGTTTTGTCATGTGTTTGTGTCTAAACATCACCTGCTCACATTGCAGCTTTAGTATGACTTACTCCGGTCATTCTAGAGGAAAACTCAACCATTATGAGAAAAGAAAAGGTTTTCCTGGCCTGGCAGTCTGAGATTACTAATAAGAGAATCTGACCAGTAACATTTTGCAATAAGGTCTCATTAGTTAACATTGCATAAACTAACATCAATGAGCAATACATTTGTTACAGTACTTATTAATATTTGTTAATAAATATACAACTGTTCATTGTTAGTTCATGTTAGCTAAAAATTATATTAATAGATACAACTTTTGATCTTTAATCAGGGTTCCCACGCTTCTTGAAAGTACTTGAAAGTACTTGAATTTCAGACGTATTGAATTCAAGGCCTGGAAAGTACTTGAAAACAAACATAAGTCCTTGAAAGTGCTTGAATTAAATTTGAAATAAATTTTGTTTATGCAGGGATTCAAGTTTTCCGTCGCTACGACGGATTTCCGTCAATTGGAAAAAAAAAAGAGGGGAAAAGAAACATGTAGCGCATTGTTGTTGTTATTGTTGTTCTGCCGGCACACCAAAAATCATTCCCGGCCACGGCTGCAGCTTCTCACTGACAACATAGGAATGCTGCTCGCATCATTCACAGTCGGGTTATTAGCAGAGAACACAGAGCAGGACTTGAATTTCGGCGCGGGATTGCGGCTATTAATAACAATTGTACTCATTCCCGCAGGTTCCCCGCTTATAACGCGATGACAGATGACGGAACATATTATTTGCACGTGCTTTTGAGTCTTGAGAACTCACTTGCGCGTTCTCATTTTCTGTGCGCCCACAGATCGCGATAAGGAGAGTGACAGCTTTTAATAATTATTACGGGAGTTTGCCAATGTGATATTGATTCAATACAACAGCTCAGTAAACAAAAAAGTACTGCCTGATTTTGCTCTATTTCTTTAACGAAAATAGTTCCAAATATAGTAACCGCTCAGCCACTTCGCATCTCTAAAAGCAAACTCAGCTGAGTTTCATTCATTCAATGAAAGTGCGTTTTTGAACGAATCTAGTGAGTCAGTGATTCATGATTACCCATTCATAAAGACAGTCACTTGCTTCATTCCTGAATGAATCAGCCATTTGAACGAATCAATTGAATGAATGATTCAGTGATAAAATC